TTGCCCTCTGTTGCCCAGGCTAGAGTACAGTGGCGCTATCTCTGCTCACTGCAACCTCTGACTCCCAGGTTCAAGCAATTCTCCTGCCTCAGCCTCCTGAGTAACTGGGACTACAGGCGCATACCACACCACCCAGCTAGTTTTTGTATTTTTAGTAGATAGGGTTTCAACATATTGGCCAAGCTGGTCTTGAACTCCTGACCTCATGACCTGCCCGCCTCGGCCTCCCAAAGTGCTGGGATTACAGGCTTGAGCCAGATGATAGGGGATTTTATAGCAGCAAGCTGAAAATTGAGGTTTCTGAACCTCAGGATCTCCTACTCCATTAAGATATTTCATCAACCAAAATGCTTTTATATTACTGCTGTAGAGTAGTGTAGTCTTGTATTTGGGGAGATAGAAAATTATTAAGAATGGGAGAGTTATTTTCTGTGTAAATAAAACTATTTTGGTTATCTTTTATCGTTTCAAATTTTTGAAAGTAAAATTTTAATCAAAACTGTGAGTTTTTTTTTTTTGCTTACTTGAGATGGAGTCTCGCACCTTAGCCTCCCATAGTACTTGAGATTACAGGTGTGAGCCACCATCCAGCCCTGTGTATGTTTTTGAAATTAATTTTTAATAGATTTTTCGTACCACATTCCTTTCTTCTTTCCTCTGTTCTTTTTTCTTTCTACTCACACTTAAATTTGGGTTTTAAAATACCCTCCAATTTGATATTTAAATGTTTAAAATTAACAAGAGGAAGAGGTATCATTATGATGTAACTTATAAGTAACATTCTTTGCTGAATTTTTTTCAGTATTTTCTGGTCTAAATATTGTGTTTACTGACTATACTAAAGAATTTTTTAAATTTTTTTCTTTTTTTAAGAAAGAATCTTGCTCTGTCACCCAGGCTGGAGTGCAGCGGTACCATCTCGGCTCACTACAACCTCTGCCTCCCGGGTTCAAGCAGTTCTCTGCCTCAGCCTCCCTGGGATTAGAAGGACTCACCACCATGCCTGGCCAATTTTCGTTATTTTTAGTAGAGATGGGGTTTCACCATCTTAGCCAGGCTGGTCTTGAAGTCCTGACCTTGTGATCCACCCGCCTTGGCCTCCCAAAGTGCTGGGATTATAGGCATGAGCCACTGCACTTGGCCTAAAATATTTTTATAATGATATACATCATTCTAATTTTCAAATCCCTAGTAAGTAACCAACACTCACTTTGCCTAAACCCAAAATAGCAACGGCAGCCCCTTTAAAAATGACAAGTGGTAGGCTGTGGCCAAAGATAGCAAATCATCTTAGACCTTTCATAAATAACAGGTGAACTTTTCAAAAGACATAGTAGATTGGACTAATGTCTACTTCCTGCTCTCCTAAAACCCCCATAAAATAACACCAAATGGGTTTTCAAAAGGTGTATACCCACAAAGATCAGGAGGACAGCCTGAAAGACAATGGCAATAAAAGTTGGGAAGTTGGAAAAAAGGAGCCGTAAGTAACAGAACCCCAAGCCAGCTATGGGAAAGTCAGGAGCCAGCCTTATACCACAGAATTTCCAAAAGTCTGGCAGCATCAGTACCTGTGGAAATGAGGTTGAAAGCATTACCAAACTTGGGAAGGCTGGTTGAAATCTGTTTAAGAGGAACACAGATCCCCCAACACGGATTACCCTATATCCCCCCACAGCTGGGTAATTTTTTTTTCCATACCCTGGCTAACACTGGAGGCTTACTCTGGAGAGGAAAATAGGGGATCTGTGGGCTGAGGAACAACAGATACAACTGAGGCATAGGTCCTGTAATGAAAACAGCATGGTGAAGTGATGTCAGTTTGCTGAGTGCTAAGATTCCCGGCCCTTTTATATCACAGGCTACCAGAAAGCTAGCAATTGGGCATTCACTCTGTAAGCAGGAAATCAGAGTATCTTTCTCTGGGAAAGGGGGTGAGTTTAAGAGAAGAGACCAATTTAAATGGCTGAGCCAAGATAATCCTCAGTGAGGGTAACAGGCAACAGACTCCACCCGTAAGCTGAGAGCTTTCAATCAGCCATTCGGTCCCACATCTATAAATGTGATGGAACAACAAAGAGTGTCATATAACTAAGTAATCTAATGGACCTGAACTCTGAAAAAGACTAAAGCAAACATAAGAAGGTGACATAGAGGACCAGACTATACAAGGCAAACACTGCTTCTAGGATTCCTAATAGTACATGGAAGTTCATTAACTTTTTTCTCTTCTCTTGTGAATGTTTAAAAACTTCCATTATAATTTTAAAAACTTATTGTAAATATAAAATACGGTAGCAATAAACAATAGCGTACCATAAAAAAGAAACAGAACAATCGGCTCTTTAAAATACCTGAGTATGAGCAATTTATTCATTTATTTAAAAAAATACAATAAAGGAAATAAAAACTCCATAAAACAGTTAGAAGTAAGAAATCTCCCAGAAAAGAGGTCAGAAAGATAAGAGATGGAAGAAAATTGTTTTTAACCTCGAATCCTATATCTAGCCAAACTATCAACCAAGTTTAAGGATAGAAAAAATACTTTGGCAGACATCCAAGATTTCAAGTACTCTTTCTCAAGAAACTGCTAAAGGATGTCCTCATCAAAAGTAATCAGTGAAAGAAAAAGACATGAAGTATAGAGGTAACATTCTATTCTATTTAGGAGTACAGGGAGGGAATCACCAGGATAATGGTGAAGGGAACTGCTAATGGGAGACTACAGGCAGCATCTGGGTGAAAATTCTTTAGGAAGGTGAAATTGAAAGAATGTCTGATACACAGCTATTGTGTATTATTTATACGTTGTCTCTGGCTGCTTTTGTACTACAAAGGCAGAATTAAGTAGTTGTGAGACAGATCGTATAGCCTGTGTCAACTTTAAATAACAAGACTAAGGAAATATGTCAAATGTAGAGATTATTGAAGCACAAAGCTTGAGGACAGCCACCCAGGAAGCACAGATTCCAAAGATTAGAAGTCAGTATACCAAAGTATAGAAGCTTGGGGTCGCTTAGGAGAAAGATTTAGACCACAGGTGTCTGCCCACTGCCTGTTTTTTAAATAACATTTTATTTGAACACAGCTATTGTGTGTTATTTATACATTGTCTCTGGCTGCTTTTGTACTACAAAGGAAGAATTAAGTAGTTGTGACAGAGATCATATAACCTGTGTCAACTTTAAATAACAAGATTCAGGAAGTATGTCAAATGTAGAGATTATTAGAGCATAAAGCTGGAGGACAGCCACCCAGGAAGCACAGATTTCAAAGATTAGAAGTCAGTATTCCAAAGTATAGAAGCTTGGGGTCACCTATATAGACACAGTTTAGGGAAGGTTAACAAAATTTCAGTACTTTTCTACATAAGGCTTAATGCATAGTTACAATGATCTGATTGGGCAAGGTGGTCTTTTTCTTTCCAGAAAGGTATATTTAGCATTCCACACCAAAGATGTAACAGTTGTGGGTTCTTTTGCACCATCTGGTCCGAGTTAGGTACAGGACAGTAAAGGAGGTAGTTAATCTCTAACAAAGGTTGGAGATTAGAAGGGGAGGAGGTCTGGTCTCTGGTGTCTCCTACTCATTTACAGAACAGGAACAGTAAGGAAGAGAATTAATCTATAAGAAGCAGAAGTTGCAACTACATGCTATGTGACTCAGATCAAAGTCACATCTCTCAAGATTTAAAGTGTTTTCAGGATTTCAATAGCTTTTAAATTTTATTTTCACACCTGCAAAGTGTAGAATATTTTCTATCTGGCCCTTTAAGAAAAAGCTAGCAGACCTGGTTTAGAGCATTGATAATAGACAATTGACTGAGAGTTTGTGGTTGAATTCATTACACGTACTACATGGAAATTTAAGCAAATGAAAAACGGTAAGTAATTGCTCAATCCAGGGAAAATAAAAATTGGCCAAGAATGGAAAAGTAGCCATGATTTACTTTGTGACTTAGCAATGAATATATTTACATGATTATAGTAATATAAATGTCTAATATTGAGCTAACCGAAATTACTATACAACTGTATTGGGATGATGGAAAGAATGTGTGTATGCTGTGGGACTAGGACGAGGAAAGAATTTTGTCCTCATCTTCCATAGTGGGAAGTCAGTAGAGAAGAACTAAAACTGAAAAAAACATGATGATAAATACCAAGATAATCAACTAAAAGGGTGAAAATCAATTCTTCTAGGGAGGGCAGAAATGAAGGGGAGAGGGACAGGACTCCCACTTTTCATATTAATACATTTTTGCTGACTTTTTAAATTATGTGCCTTTATACCGTTGATAAAGGGAACAAAATAAAATCCCCCACTAAATTGGAAAACAAAACAGAAAACTCTTTTTCAAGGTCAGCATATACATAGTCCTCATGATGCATGTCTCCTCTCAATTCATGGGTATCACTAATCACAGTCATATTTCCTGGTGAGTCAGGACATTGTCTCAGATCTTGTGAATAGTGTTCCAGTAGCCACTCCCAACCAGTAAAAGTTACCCTTATTCATGAAAGAAATATCTCTGATACTACTGATATTACCAATTTGGGCAGATTTTCTGTGGTTCTCAGACTTTACCACCAAAAGAACATTGCCTGACATTTAGCTAATTAAACATCCTGATTTAGCTGCATTTTAAAACTTCACCTGTTCTAAATACCATTTCTACTTAAACCCACAAACATGGGAAGATAGTTATTCTCTGTAGTTATTCATAGATATAAGGTAATTTAATAGTATGTTTTTAGCATCTAACACTGGACCTAACATGGTAGGCTAGTAAATGTTTGAATGAATCCATAAATGAACTCTGTTGTGTAATTAATAATTTTTAATAACCAAGATAACTGAAAAGCTGAAGAAACCAACCCTTGTTAAAGCAAAAGGTGAAAACACAATTTTATTCAGCTTTTCATCATAAGTTGTGGTTCTGAATGATTTTGATTTCTGAATTAAAGTAGTTTTTGTCCTTTTCTTCTAACCCTTAATAGGATCTTTCCAATTAAAGATGTACCCCTGGAGACTGATGACCTTAACAATTGGCTCTATCAACGGTTTATTGAAAAAGAGGACCTCTTATCTCATTTTTATGAAACAGGTACACAGTATCCTTTAAATAGTTGCTAAATTATAGCAACAATAATGGAAACCTCTTTTAAACAAAACTGTTTGCATATGAGATCTTGAAACTTGGAAATGCACTCTGTAAATTGCTTGTGAGAAGCAAATCCCCTTATGAATCAGCTTACCCAGGGGATTATCAGCAAGGACAAAGACTATTTGAAATGCTGAAGAGTGTTTTTTTTTTTTTTTGAGATGGAGTTTCACTCTTGTTACCCAGGCTGGAGTGCAACGGCACGATCTCGGCTCACCGCAACCTCCGCCTCCTGGGCTCAGGCAATTCTCCTGCCTCAGCCTCCTGAGTAACTGGGATTACAGGCACGTGCCACCATGCCCAGCTAATTTTTTTGTATTTTTGGTAGAGACGGGGTTTCACCATGTTGACCAGTATGGTCTCGATCTCTTGACCTCGTGATCCACCCGTCTCGGCCTCCCAAAGTGCTGGGATTACAGGCTTGAGCCACCGTGCCCAGCCCTGAAGAGTGTTATCAAGATGACCTTAGGTAATATTGCTCTCTGAAGTGATCTAGGATTCCTTTCCAGAAATGAATTTAAAGACATCTGCTGACTTTGCATTTATTTTTATTATTAAGATATATTTCATAAAGCATATTGCCTTTTGAAAATAATGTCAGTGTTATATACCTAGTTATTTGATGAAAAACAATTTGTAAATAGAGGGAATTAGCATAAAGTATGCTATTTCAGAAATTATTTCATGTCAGTCTCACACATCCTCGGTCCTGACGACTGTGGGAATCTATAGGGATTCAGCAGAGACAAGGCAGCTAGAGTGTCTGCTCTCAGACAGATTATATTCCAGTGGGAGACATGGCAAACAAGTCTGCAGAAAGAAAGAGAATCGGGATTATGACCAATTGGGAAAAGTTCCAGGAAGGAAATAAACAGAGATGGGAGGGGTAGTATTTTTTCTGATACAGAATGGACGCACATGGGCCAGCTATTCACTAAGTAGAGGAGGAGAGCATTGCAGGTAGAGAAAAGGCAAAGGCAAAGAGGCAAGAAGGGGTTAAGTAGCATGGAAATTGTATTTCAAATGAAATCTCTCCTGGGGCACTGGAAAGTCACCGAAGATCTTTTAACCTACATAGGTACAACTCTACTTAAGCTAATATTCAACTTTTTTCCTGGAGACTTACCACTACAGTAAAGCAAACTAATATTTCTATCTTGTCTTTTAGGAGCTTTTCCACCTTCCAAGGGCCATAAGGAAGCTGTTTCCAGGGAGATGACCCTCAGCAACATGTGGATATTTCTCATACAGTCTTTTGCATTTTTGTCAGGCTATATGTGGTACAACATCATTCAGTATTTTTACCATTGCCTATTTTAGAAATTGACTTGGACTTGTCAAGGTCACCATAGGAATTCAGACTTTCTTTCATAAGTGTGCATTATTTTACATGTACAAATCAGAATATATTTAAAAAAAGCAAAAGAAATTCAATGGATGGATTAATATTTATCCCCCTTTGGGATATTTTAGAACTCTACTAAAATGAGGATTAGTAATATAATGACCTGCTAATATATTTTAAGAACATATTTTAAAAAGATACACTCTGTCACATATTTAAGCAAACATCACATTTGGAGAAGATGAAATTATAAAATCATCCTAGAAGACTATCTGAAAGAAATTCTGTTGCCACCAGTTATACTTGACAATTTAGTTCAAGCTCAGAAAGTTATATTTGTCCCTCTTAGCTGTAGTCTATATTAGGGCAGTACTCTAGAACGCCTACATTTCCACCAACTCAGTAACCTTGAGGGGAGCTGGTTGGCACCTTGTGAAGAACTCTTTCCCTGTCGTTTGCAGTAACAAACTCTAGTCTTCAACAGCTAACTGAGGTACATTATTGGCATTCTCTGTGTGGGAAAAGCAGTGTCCACTGGACCCCTTCTGGTACTGGATGTGTTCTTTACAAAGGCTAGCTCAGTCCAACACTGTGTTTACATGCACTCGTGCTTTTCCTTATATGATTTCTCATTTTGTATCGAAGGCATATCATAAATTGATAATTTTATAAAATGCACTTTTATCAGATGCAGATATAGCAAAGGATTAATAATATAGCCTGAAAACAAATGGGAGCATAGCAGTGTGTGAGGTTCTCAAGAGCTGTCTTGTCTGCGTGTTTATTTGCCTGCCAGTGCTCTCCAGTGCCATCCTACATTAGGCACCACCCTGATGTGATGCCTCTATTGTAGCTCAGAGGCTTTATTTTTTCCATTTTGGTATTGGCACTAAATGCATTTGGGGATAGTTGAAACAAATTAATATAGGACATTTAAATGATTAATTTAAGGGGAAATACGAAAAATAAAAGCTAGTGGCCTGTAATGGTAACAAGTTCTCATGTGGCATCCCTAGGACCTGTAGTGTGTTGAATCATTACATCAAGTAGCTGCCCCTGTCAATGTTAGTGGAATTAGGAAAGAGATCAGCACAAAAGGCTCCCCAATCTTTTCCAGTTGCTTTTTTTTTTTTTTTTTTTTTTTTTTTGAGACAGAGTCTTACTCTGTTGCCCAGGCTGGAGTGCAGTGCCATGATCTTGGCTCACTGCAATCTCTGCTTCCTGGATTCAAGCAATTCTCCTGCCTCAGCCTCCTGAGGAGCTGGGACTACAGGTGCCCACCACCATCCCCTACTAATTTTTGTATTTTTAGTAGAGACGGGGTTTCATCATGTTGACCAGGCTGGCCTCGAACCCCTGACCTCAGGTGATCTACCTGCCTCTCCCTCCCAAAGTGCCGGGATTACAGGCGTGAGCCACTGCGCCCATCCTCCAGTTGCTTTTGAAGAGGGTAAAGTCAAGTTTCTAGAAAACATTTTTAAAGCAATGTGTCGCTATGTTTATGCAGTTTACCTCATGAGGGAACCATACCCTTCTCCAAAAGTGCTGGTACTAAATCAGTGAGGTGAGTGGGTTTTTTGTTTGGGATTGTAAAACTATTAGGATCCTAGTGAGTCAGTGGTAGTTTACTGTGATGTGAGCATTGTAGATTCCCCTGTTGTCACTAATCACACAAATAACAATTTTGAGGAGTAGGCTATAAAACAAAAATAAAGGTTAATGTTTTCTATTTTTAAATAAACCAAAAAAGAAAAAAACAAACAGAAAAGATGTGAATTTTCCCCAGTTATGTGGGAAAGGTAAAGCAACACCAAATAAAAGCCCACAGCAGCTTCATCTTTAGGATAACTCAGTGCATATGTGAAGGAGAAAGATGCATTAACTGAAATACCTCATTGAATATTATTATACTACTGGTAAAATGCAGAAGACAGTGTTAATGTGTTTGGTTTGGGGACTGGTTGTTATAACATGCAATGTTTTTGAAGTCTAAGCATTTCATTGTGTGTTCTACAGTGACAGTGAATAAGTGAAACCAATCTCAGTTTAGAGGTATGGATGATGACAGAAAGCCAAATAGAAGCATAGTGATGTTTCTCATTATGGCCCAGCAAGCACCACTAAATTACTGGGTGAAATGAAATTGCTCACTTGAGAGATCAGTTCAGCCATCTGGGGGAGAAGTTACTCACTGTCAAATACAGCATGCACAGTCCTAGCTGATAGACCTTTTCCTCATTGCTTCAGCAAGCCACAGGGTAGAGTGACCAGTTCTCCTCTCCAAAAATAAATGCATACGTGCATACATAAATGTGGCTGAGGGCCACTTTTGCCATCACTGTGCTCCAAAGGAACATGATATTGTTAAATATTCTGTACACATTAAACTATCCTGTAAGATGCTTTACTTTTCAAGTGCAGTGTCATTTTCACAGTCTCCAGGGTGACAAGTACCAATAGTATGTGAGTTAATTTTTGAAATATTTCTGTGAGTTGTAAATAGATGTGTATTTGATCTGCCCTATCCCTCTTTGATTCTGTATTAACATGTTCTCTCTTCTGTTTGCAAAATCTGTTTATCTGAAAGCATGGGTAGTGGTTTCTTTATCAGTAACTGGAGTTCTCCTGCTTGCACTAGAGATGGTAAAGAGAGAATCTGTGTTCTTATATGGCAATCTGAGGAAGCAGCAATATGCCACTGTACACAAAACAGAAGAAAATTTATAATTTGTACTTCATGAAGGGAGATGAAATAACATTTAAACTATACATATTTTGTCAAGAGGAAAGAAAATAAAACTGTGCCAGTTTTATACCAGTACCTTGTAGAAGCTCAGGTCTTCTTGGACTTGGCTAGATTGCCTAGATTCCCACAGCAGACAAGGTTGAGAATCCATTGCTGAAATCCTGGTATTGATGAGTTACAGTGATGGAGCATCTGCTTGGCCACAGGCAGGTCCAGTCACTACAAAAGTGACCAAGCCAGCAGGTCACTCTTGACTTCAGAAGCAATTATTGGTGTTGAGCTATACATAAATTGCAGAGAAACCTATAAGCAATGGAAGGTAAAGAAATATCACAGAACAGAAAATAATGTTTTGGGTAAGCAAACAAATTCATTGAGGATTCCAAAAGTATATTTAAAAAGAAGATAGCTATGAGTTCAGATCTGTTATATTAGTTTTTAATATTACAGGCAATCTTTAACTCTCCACTGTAAAGGAAGTATTACTAGATTAATTTCTGGATAGTTAATCTGGTAATAAATGATAGGTAAATCAAAAATTGCTTTTATTGCCGGGCACGGTGGCTCAAGCCTGTAATCCCAGCACTTTGGGAGGCCAAGGCGGGTGGATCACGAGGTCAAGAGATCGAGACCATCCTGGTCAACATGGTGAAACCCCGTCTCTACTAAAAAATACAAAAAATTAGCTGGGCATGGTGGCGCGTGCCTGTAATCCCAGCTACTCAGGAGGCTGAGGCAGGAGAATTGCCTGAACCCAGGAGGCGGAGGTTGCGGTGAGCCGAGATCATGCCATTGCACTCCAGCCTGGACAACAAGAGTGAAACTCCGTCTCAAAAAAAAAAAATTGCTTTTATTTAGGAGTTTGAATTCTTATTCTCATCAGACTTATTTTTCTTCTAGGGATGCTTACTAATTAAATGATTTCAGTTGTTTCTTAGGGGGTTTTTGCCTATATATTTATGACTGTGTTAATGAGTGGTGAAGAGATATGGAAAGACAGACAGCTATCAGGAAGAGGAAATACAGAAGCCTGAATAATCTATGGGTTAGAAAAAGCATCCCTGAATAATCAAGAGTTGGCAGTATTGGCATTGTTCTCAAGCCTTTTTATGAAAATGAAATCTGAAATCAAATGTAAACCGGGAAACATTCTAGTGTTACTGTCTTGGATTCATGTTAAGAATTCCTCTTTATTCTTTGCTCATGTTACCCACTTCTTGTGGATTTGTCAGAGTAATGTTTTTTTGACAATCACTTCCCTAAAGACTCTTCTGAACTAGTTGGACCTGGTTATGATCATAGAGAGTAATCTTTAATCATAGGTAGTCTTCTTGGATTATTTTTATATTTGAAAAGAAAAATGTTTTATTTGCACTACTGAATACGAAGAGTTAATTGTTTTCTTTGTTCTTTTTTTGAAGTCATTATACAGGACTTCACTCCAGAGTTACCATTATGATTGTGTTCAGCTCTGGTCCACAGAGGATGGATAAAAAATGGTTTGTTACGGTTTTTGCTCTGCAGTGCTATGAGCCTTACATCTGTTAACATGAAAGACAAAGTCAAAAGCAGCAGTGAGCAGCAGGAGGGGCAGAGACTAATACATTTGGGACCAAAACCATCTAAGTTAGAGATTTCCAGATCACAGAGGGGCTGGGTATTCTCTGGAGCAGTCGTTGATTGGTGCTATATTGTAATCATTTTGCACCAATCCCCAACAATTAGGAACTGGACCCTGGGAATAAGCTGAGGGTGCTGAACTGTTGGGGGAGGGTGACTGTAGCCATATGGAAGATAAAATATGGGTTTTTCTGCAAAATTTCCATCTGAGGGTTTTTACGTTTAATATATTTTTAAGACAGTTTAAAGAGCAAAAATTTTTTAAAGTTATTCTAGTTGCAAAGTATGCACACATATCTTGAATGGCTTTATTTTTGTGTAAAACTGTTGAACACTTGACTGTGATGCACAAATTCTTTACATGTAAAGAGTCTATGCATTTTACAGTAACTTATTTTATGATTGGGTAATGAGACAGTTATACATTCAACTGCCATTAGTTTTATTAAGTGCTTTCATTTTTCACAGTTATTACAAAATTATATTTATTTTATACAGATGGGTTTTCATTTTCCTGATGCTGTAATGTTTACTTCAGCTTTTTGACCTTTCTTTGTATTATCTGCATGTTGTAACACGTGATAAGAATGAATGTAAAGGCTGTGGCAACTGTAATTAATTTTTGTAAAGGGCTGGTCACATGTGGATCTGGTTTATGAATGCATTTGGGATGATTTTAGTAACCAGATCACCTTTTCAGAAATTTAG